GTGCGCCGGCAGTCGCTGACGCCGCCGTCCCCCAACACCATCTCCTGGGAGGAGTACATCTCTGCAGAGAGTGGCAAGTGAGTGCTGCTGGGCCTGCCAGGCCTTCAGGGACCCCTCTGCATCCCTGGCAGGGGCTGGGGGTCTCTGGGGGTTTTGGGTTCTCCACTTGGTGGGTGCTGCTTGTGGCGCTGGGTTTGTTCTCCAGAGGGCTGGGGAGGGATCCTGGTGTGTGGGAGCAGTGTCAGTGCCTCAGCTACAGGCAGGGAGTCCTGGGATGCTCTGGGCTGGAAGGGACCTTAAAGCCCACCCAGTTCCACCCCCTGCCATGGGCATTTCTGGGTAGTGGTTAATAAACACTTCCTGTAGGGTTTATTAACAGGAATTATTTATATATAGGGTTTATTAATTATTTATAATAATATATATATATATTTATTAATTATTTATATAATTATATTTATTAATTATTTATAATAATATATATATAATTATTTATAAATAGGGTTTATTAATAGGAATTATAATTATGAGGAATTATTTTACTGCAGTAGTTTTCCTGGTTTTGTCTTGTCTCCTTAAATCTAATTTAAGAGGATTTTTATCTTTATTCTGCACAGCTTTACAATAAAGCAAACCCTTTGGAAGTAGGGATTCCTCCCTGATGTTTTCCAACCCAAGTCTGTTTTCCTTCCTCTAAAGCCAGGATTGCCCTGGGAAGCACTGACTTTGTCTCTCCCTCACAGAGCTCCTCACCTGGGCAGGGAGCTGGTCTGCAAGGAGAGCAAGAAAACCTTCAAAGCCACGATAGCAATGAGCCAAGAATTCCCCTTGGGAATCGAATCGTGAGTCAAAGCTCCTGGCCACGGGAGTGACTCCTGTTGGGAATGTTTTAGTGTGCTCATGAGCTGCAGATCCCCAGGAGTGGGAGTGGGAGTGCAGTCAGGCTGTTGTCCCTTAAACTGGGAATTTGGGAGCTGCTGGGGCTGGGGAAGAGCCAAGCCCTTACCTGGCTTGATAAGAGCAGAGTTTTGGGCAGGGGTATCAGGGTTATCTGTGGTGTCTGATCCCACAGAATTCTGAAATGGTTTTCCCCATAATAAATTTTAGCACAAAGTTGTGTCCCCTAACCCAGTGCAAAGCCAGGTCAGTTCCACATGTCCATGGAGAAGGGGGGTGGTACCTCATCCCTCATCTCCTGTGGGAAATGAGGATAAGGAACTGCTATCCTGGTGTTGGTTTGTTGTAATTCTGGGCGTGGGCTGACCCTGACGCCCTGGGATGGAGAAGGGGATGCTGCCATTGTCACCCTGTTGTCCCCTGGGCCCTTTGGGTGACGTTTTCCTGTCCACAGGGACAGGCTGTGTGTGGCAGGAGGATCTGTCACAGGCTCTGCTCTCCTTTGCAGGTTGTTGAATGTCTTAGAAGTCATTGCACCCTTCAAGCACTTTAACAAACTTAGAGAATTTGTTCAAATGAAGCTTCCACCAGGCTTTCCTGTCAAATTAGGTAAGAGCACACAGCAGCTCCTGGGGCTTTATTTATCCAGAATTTTAGGTTGAAAAAGCCCTCTCAGTCCAACCATTCCCCAGCTCTGCCAAAGCCACCATTGCCCCATGTTCCCCCAGTGCCACATCTACACAGCTTTGAGATCCCTCCAGGCGTGGGGATGCTGGAAAACCCTTTCCAAGAGAAATTTTCCCAAATATCCAATCCAGGTCTAAACATGTGCATTTATTCGTGCCATATGTTCAGAAGGTCTTTTGTGGAGTTTTGGGGAGGAGCCCTCACCTAGGGCTGTGTTACTGAGAGCTCAGGAGCACAGGAGTGCTGGGGCCTTGCTCCAAGGGCAGTGGGGTGTGCTGGATTATTCCTGCACTGGGGGAGGATCTCAGGTGTGGAGTATTTTGTAACATTCCTGAGTTTCCTTTTCTTCAGCAATTACTGGGGATAGATTGATTTTAAGTGAAAAATTGTAAAGATGGAAATGTCTGAGGGCAGCTTGTTCAGGGGATAGGTGATCCCAGAAGCAGCAGGCCCTCTGCTGAGGATGCAGGGCTCTGGAATTGCAGGGAGCTGTGTGGGCAGGCGGGCTGTGCTCTGCCTCTGCCGTGTTTGCACAGGGTTCCAGAGCACTTTGGGAATGAGCTCAGATTGCAGCTGGTGCTCCCATTCCCACGGCAGGGACACCTCCCCCTGTAAGCCAGCCTGGCAGGGTGGGGATGGTGCCACTGTGCTGTCCCTTAAATGAGCCTTGCTTGGTCGTATCCTATGCAAGCTGTTCCAGCTCCAGAGCTCAGTCCCCAAGGGCACTGGGTGCCAGAAGCCAGCTCGCTCTCAGACCAAGGCCGCGGGTCAGCCCCTAGCAAGCAGGGAATATTCAGCTCTCAGTGATCAGGCAGCTCTTGTGATTTCAGCTTTGCTTGCTGGGTAGCTTTTCCCTTGGCCTAAGGCTCCAGCAGAGGGTAGAGAGAGGAGAAGCAGAAGACACTGGCTGTTCCACGAGTATGGCTTTATTGTAGGGTCTGTGAAGGGTCTCAGCTCTTCTTCTTCCCAGTTAGTAGGGGTACAGTATGCTACTGTTATACCCTTGGCCTGGATCCAATCCTGACCAATGGCAAAGGTGTTAGAGTGACCATAAGTGTCCAATGGTAGGGTTTAACACAATATTGCCTTCCATGGCTATAGGGATAAGGTACAAGGCGGATGTCCCTGGAGACAGGAAACTTCTTTGCCGCTGTGTCAGCATTCTGTTCTCCAAGGGGCCCTGGCTAAACCTGAGGGGTTTACTACAGTCCCTGAGCGTGCCCTGTCCCCGCAGACATCCCGGTGTTCCCCACCATCACGGCCACTGTGACGTTCCAGGAGTTCCGCTACGACGAGTTCGATGACTCCATCTTCACCATTCCCGACGACTACAAGGAGGATCCCAGCCGCTTCCCGGACCTCTAGGGGGGCTGGGAGCTCCTGGGGGCACCAGCCCGGCGTGCCAGGGCCAGGGCAGGGCCGTGGGGCACAGCAAGGGGTGAGCTGGTGGGCCCGCAGCCGAGGGAAGGAGCTGGCGCTGCACTGTGGGCACACAGCCCCTCCAGCTGCCGCCTCCCGGGGCCTCCTGCTGCCACCCCCCCTGGCACAGCCGCTCCTGGCTCGGAGCTGCCGCCCCAGCTGGGAGCAGCTGCTGCTTTTTAAATTTTTTACACTTGTGGTGACCCGCGAGGGAGGCACTGCTGGACCTTGGCACCGAGCTGGGGCTGGGGCTGGGGCTGGGTGAGGCGAGCCCCCCAACCCTCCCCTGCTCCCTGAGCTCCCAGCTCAGGCACAGGATGTTGGAATGTGGGAAGGTATCCTGGAGGAATGCCTTGGCTGTAGATGAATGAACTAAATGGGCACCACTGACACTTGGATCTCCTGCGGCACCCGGGCAGAGCCAGCTGTGCTGAGCAGGGAGCGAGGCCCCTGGGCAGTGCCAGCCCAGCCTGGTGCTGTCCCTGCCCCTTCCCTCCCTTCCTTCCCTCCCAGGGCTGCCTGGCCAGCAGTGCCACTCGTTGGTTATCCTGTATTTGAGGCCGAGCACCGCCAGGGCAGGGTGTGGGAGCTGGGGCAGCCCAGGCACTGCCCCTCCCTGCAGGAGCAGCTCCCCCTGCCCTCGGGGCCAGCCTGGTGCTGCTCCCACACTCATTCCCTGCCTTTGGTGTTCCAATCACAGAGAATCCCAGACTGGTGTGGGGTGGGGGGGCCTTAAAGCTCATCTTGTGCAGCCCCCCCTTCATGGATGGTTCAGTACTCCAGCTCCTCGAGCTTATTCCCATTCCCAGTTGTTCCAGTCTCCTCATCTAACAATAATCCACCTTTTTGGGGTTTGTTAGGCAAGATTTGTGCAGAAGGCTGATGGTGCTATTTGTTTGTATGAAGAAATTTAGATTCAAGTGCTGTGGTGTCATTGTACAAAAATGTAAATATTTTCCAAATTATATTCTTTGTGCACTGTAGGTAAAACTTTTTCTGGAATTCCATAGAGTTAAGGATCAAAGTTTATAATGAAGAGGATCATTGATGCTCAGTGGAGGGAACAGCTGTGCTGAGCACAAGGGACAAGGAAGGGGCTCAGCCCAGGGCAAGGTGTCAGGCACACCTGAGAGCAGGGAATTCCAAACTGCTGGAATCTCTGATCCATCCCAAAGAGGCTCCCAAAGAGGGGAGCACTGTCAGCAAAGTGCAGGAGGGTGGGCTTGGTCCTTTGGCAGCTCCTCTGTGGGCCTGGGGAACAGGGGAGCGCTGGGACAGGACAGGGGAGCTCTGTTGTCAATTCAACCTCAAATCCAAAATGAAACTTTAGGGAAAACAAGCAAAGGGAAACGGCTCCTGCAGTGCCGTGTCAGGGCAGGTGTGGAGCATCCTCTGGGAATGATGGAACTTGCTCTCCCAAGTCGTGATGAATTCCTGACGTGTTTCACACCTCTGGGATGAACTGACACCGTGTGTGCTGCTCCTGGGAGCCAGCTGGGATCCTCTGGGACAGACTGGGGGTGTGTGTGGGGCTGAGCTGGGGCCTGGATCGGTGCCTGTGGGGCAGCACAGGGCTCTTCCCCTCCAGGGCTCCCTTTGGGGTGTTCTGTGCAGCTGCAGGACCTGTGCCAGTGCCTTACAGGGCACCCCTGCCTTGGGGATTGCAGTGGTGAGAGGTTCCCCCCCGAGGTGAATGTCAGAGCTCCCTTTGCTCAGTGGTACAGGGACATCCACAGCTTTGTGTCCTTTGCATTTTTGCTCATCCCAAATCCATCCCTGGCTCCGTGGCAGTGTTGCTGGGGCTGTGGGGCCTGGGCAGTGCAGCCACTGCTGGATCCCAGGGGGGATCCTGGCCTTGGAACTGGAAAACAAAAGGGTTTGGGTGGCCTCCTGTGGGACTGAGGCTGCTGTGGCTCTGTCCCCTCTGGACAGCCCTGGTGTGTGCCCAAAGCCCAGGGCAGGCCCTGCAAGAGGTTCCTGTGGTTCCTGTGGCCTCTGGCTGCAGACCTGGGGGATTTTCACCCCCAGGACACGGCTGCTCCCTGGGACACTGCCAGGGCTGCAGGAAGGGCTGCAGGAAGCTGCTCCCAAGGCTTGTTCTGCCTTGGAGTGTGGGCACAGCTTTGGGCTGGGTTATCCCAGGAACTGCAGCTGCTCCTGCTCTCCCTGTGGAGCTGAGGGATGGCAATTCCTGCATTGTCCCCAGCTCCCAGGGCTGCCCCTGGGCTCCCAGAGCTGCTCTCAGTGCTTGTCCCTCCTCCTGGGCTGTGTGTCCTGCCTGAACATTCCTGGTGAGAAGTTCTCACATGCAGGGACACCTGGGCATTCCCGATGGATGCACTGCAGGAATTCTCAGTCAGAGGGACCCGAGGGGCTGCCCATGTTCAGATCCATGTTTATACCCATGTTTTCTCCACTGAAGCCTGTTTTTGTCACTGGGTGGTGTTGCATGGACACAGGGAATGTTTGTGGATGTGTCCAGGGTGTTCCCAGCCCCAGCCTGGGGCACAGGGTCCCTCCCCTGGCCCGTGGCTCTGGGAAATTGCTGTTCCAAGCAGCATGGATCCAGCAGAGCCTCACCTGGGCTTTTCCCCTTTCCTGGAGGCCAGGCCAGGTGTTCAGGAGGGTTTGGTCCCTGGGAGTGAGCACAGATCCATGGATTGTGTCTGTGGCCTGGCAGTGTGGGGGGCCCAGGAGCAGCCCTGGGCGCCCCAGGGCAGGAGGAGAAGGGAGCTGGCCCTGGTGGGAATCCCGTCCTGCTGCTCCTGCCCAGGCTGGGGCTCCCCTCCCACCACTTCTGTTTTTCCTGAGGATTTTTGTGGCTCTTAAAAGACAACCAGGAATTTTGCTCAGCCCAGTTCCGAGCTCGCTGCGGAAGGATCCTGTGGGTTGTTCCTGAACCAAACTGTTCCTCTGGTCTTCCAAGCTCCTGCTCTGTCCCGTGGCAAAGGGAACCCCCTGGATTTCCTCTCCGGAGCTCCCAGCACAGCAATTCCTGTTCCTGCCTCGAGTCCGTCCGTCCCTCCCGGGTGTGTTTGTGCTGGAATCCCCCGGTTCTGTTGGTATTCCCACAGCCCTCTGTTATTTTCTGTCTCTGCTCCTGAGTTGTAATTCCCGCCAGGAGAACTGCGTTATTTAATCCGGATTAACCAATTCCTGTAATGCTGCAGTTTCACTTTTCTGTTCCTGACAGTTTGTAACTCCCATGGAAAACGAGTCACCTCTCTTGGTTTTGCTGTCGTCCGCTCCCTGGTTTTCCCTTCCCTTCACTCATAGTCACTTTGGGTTGTATCATTGTTAGAATAAAGACCAAACGATGCTGTTGGATTTGGAAGCTGCTCCACCTGTGCAATCCAGGCTTCCCTCTCCTGTCCCGCGGGGGCGGCACCGGAGGGGAGGGAACGAGCTCCTGCTGCTGCGTTCTGCAAGGGCATTTTCTTGGTCATTTTTTAAATAAAATCCTGCATTTTCATTACAGCCTCCTCTCGGCCCTCTCTGAATGCCAGGTTTCATGGGGAAAGGATGCAGGAGCAGAGGGAGTGGGGAAAAGGAGCCTGAAATTCCCTGAACTCTGTTGGGTCCTTGCAGAGGTTTCAGCTCCTCCATCCAGGCACGGATGGATCACAGCTGGACAGTTCTGGGGGAAAGGAGAGCAAAGCCTGGATGGCCATGGAGGCTTTGGCATTGCAGGAGGGTGGAGGCTTGGAGGGGATTTTTGGTTTGGTATTTTGGCTTTGAGGGATAAT